AGAGAGAGAGAGAGAGAGGTAAAGACCCTCTAAGTTTATCATAGATACCTCAGGAGTGAAGGTGAGGCCAACTCTGATCTCCCCACAATAGGTTTGATCCGAGGATACAACATTATAAGCTGTTGGAGGGATGCTCCCTTCCATAAACAGAGGCTCCAAAGGAATGCTGCAAATAAAAAGTAAAAAATAAAACAAATAATTTATAAATAATTACATAACATGAAACTTCAGAAATTGGTATCTATAGAGGAAATGCATTTAATAGAGGTGCTAGGGAGATGAATTCCGAATTGAGGGAGGTGCACTTCAAATGCTAGAGAGATGAAATATGGATTTCAGAGAGGGAGAGAGAGATTGAAGGGTCTAGATATAATCCATGGATCTTTTTTACAGTTATTCCATCAAGGATAATTAAGAGATGAAAGCTGCTTTTCAATAATAACTACAGAGCTGGAAAAGGAAAACAAATCAAATAATATGTCTGTGCCATAACAAGGCTTGCATTTTTACTTGCCTAGACAATTCATAAGAAAGATGAATTATCCATTACATTTCCAGGATCATCTCAAAATCATGGTCATAAGACAACACTAATCTATTGATTTTCTCACGCTAAAGTGACTAGTAATAAAATAAGCATTTATTTCTAATGAAACTTCAGTAAATAAAAGAGAGAGAGCCCAAGGTTAAAAAAAAAAAAGAGAGTAAAATATCCATTTGCAATAATCTTGAGAGAGAGGGAGAGAGGGATGAAGGTTACCTTGCTTCTCCAACAAAGTCATCTGAAGTGAAGGTATCTTTGTCCATGATCTTGATATTCAGTTCAGAAACACCATCGGAGATACTGAACACAAAGTTCTCGTTCCAATTGGGTTCAGTCCCTTGGCCTGCATCATCAATTTGTGATCTATCATCAGCATGGTCAAACTTATCATTTATGGAAGAAGAAAATAATTTAAATACTTAGATCTTCAATGACACTAGAGAGAGAGAGAGAGAGAGAGTATCATTTGTGGCAGAAGAAAATAAAAAAAGCACTCGGATCTTCAATGACACTTCAGAGAGAGAAAGAGAGAGAGTTGGGAATGGGGTTGGGGAATCGGTGGTTTGGGAGAGGATGCCTCAACGTAACTTCCCACCCTCCATTCTCACCATTACTATATTACAGAGAGAGAGAGAGAGCATTGGTCAGTTTTCTTGCAGTAATGTGTCTTGTATTCTAAAAAAGATGTGCGAATTGGTTCAAGTGGAAGGCTCTAAAAAGACATGGAGAAGGCCCAAAGGACATGGATGGAAGTTTTGAGAACAGATATAGTGACTTCTAGGATGATTGAGGTTATGACCCTTAATAGAGTAAAATGATAGAATAGGATTAATGTAGCCGGCTCCCAATAGTTGGGATAAATCTCGGATGATGATGATGATCATCTCACAATGATATACAAATAAATAAAAATTTCAGGAGGGAACTGTTTGAAAAATTTCAATTACCTGATGCAACACTGCTTTTTTGCTCCTGAGTTCGGCATGTGATGATAACATAAGGATCCATGTTAGCTGATACAATTAATGAAAGCAAAATTAATAGCTCATAGACACAACAAGTGAATGGTATGAAAAGATTAGAATCGCATTGTCCCTAATGAGTTATGGGAACAAATATTTAATAGCTAAGCTGAAAAGAATTTGCACTGCTCCAACAGAAACTCATTCAAATTTTACCAAAATCATAAATATAAACACCAGGATGAGGAAGAAACTGAAATAGCATCATACGATCTAGCTGCTTTCAAATGCAAACTTATTGGTGTTTGCAAATTAGTAATTAAAATTAAACTGTCTTTTTACACCAAGCAGTAATGAAATGCAAATTGACCAATCGTAATAGTACAACTGATTTTAAATATGAGAAGCATTTTCAACCCAAAAAAATGTGAGAACTTTCAATCAAAAATAAGTTTTCAATTAACCAAAAAGTAGTGTGCCTTTTACATATAAGAAAGCTCTTTCTTTCTACGAAAAAAAAAAAGAGAGAAGTTTAAGTCACAAAATTTAGGATGGACTTTCTCAGAAGAAGTGCTCATGTATAACTAACCAGATAGATTTCTCAATAAATATCCAAGAATAACAGAACCAAATGAGCAAATGACCTGAAGAATATATGCAAGGAAACCAAAATATGAACCATTCAATGAAGTAAGTTCTATTTGCAGATGTTAAACCCAACATGTGCAATAACAAGATATCTTTGCAAATAACTGGCAAAAGGTTTTATCAGTTCAACAAAAGTGAAGGCAAAAAGAAAATGACATTTGAAGATTAGCAGAGCAATTTTCATGATACTAAAAGAATTCCGATATAATTTTATTTCTAATGAAGGCCAAATTCAATGTGATTTAATCATATCATATCGCATCAAAACCATGTCAATGACCTGGCTGATAGTAAATGTTATTATGATTTACACTGGTTGCCATGACTAAAAGACAGGGATTCTAAGGATTTTGCTTGCAGAAATTCCAACAATTGTTTGCAAGATAACAGTGACCCCATTATCACTAAGTAAAAATGGCGCTCAATCATTGATGGAAGAGGATGGGAATCTGACAACACTTCCCAGTGATTAAGAATCGGGAACAGTTCAAGACTCTTGGGACCAATCCCGAGTCACTTGGTCAGATTAAGGCCACCCCCAAGTCAGACTGGCACCATTTTAAAAAAAGAAAAAAAGAGGCAAAAGTAAGACTGGAGGGGATTCCAAGGATTTTCCTCCTGAATCATGATCCAGGTCTACTCAGGACTCAGGGAAGTCCCAATTGGCCAACAATTTTTTAATAAATCAGCTGCCACTAATCATTTTCCATTTAGTAATCCAGATGATATCAGAAGTAACTCAATGGCTTCACCGTCTGTTTTTAACATCAATACGAAGGACTCATTTTGTTTAGCCATGCCGAAATACCAAAACTAACACAAAGATAAAGATGGAAAATATTTGGTGGGTAAAGCATTTAGACATGCCATCCAAACAAATCACTGTGAACACCATAATAAAACACTACTGGTTTGGGGAAAGTGATCAGGAAAATCAGTATTCGCTTCCAAGAGGAAAGGAAAAACCAGTGTTTGATAACTTATCGGGTCCGACTCGGATTCGCCTAAGTTACTTAGACACAGCACTCTGCCAAGTCTGAAAAAATCATGGCAACTGACCAAGACATGCAGATTCCCACGAGTCACTTGGACTCGACGGTGCATCACTTGTATTCAAGGTTATATCCCAGCTTACCAACACAATGGTGGACAATCAATTATAAATCAAAAAATACAACGTTTAATGAAAAAACAATACACACGCTAATAATAACTGGAACTGATCTAGCAGTAAGCAAGTAAATAACAATTTAAAAAAATAAATAAATGGTGCATGAAATTAACAGAGTAAGTGTTTGTGTGTTCTAAAAGAATTTTCTCTAACTTCCAACAATAAATAAATAAAGAGTAATGATCCTATGATGCAAGAAATTCCACTGAAAACAATAAATGGGTCATAATACATAAGCCTATGTTAAATACAGAAAATAAAAGACCCCAAATACTAATAACAACAACAACAATGATAATAATAATAATATAACAAGAACGAGAACAATAATAAAGATATAAAAATAACAACAACAACAATAATAATTATAACAATAATAATAATAATGGCAATGACAATATAGCAGCAATAAATTAGCAAATAATAGAAATTGAAGGATTTCCATGTATTAGAGCCCATTCAACAGATGCATCAAATGACTAAATTTCCCTGAAAGAAAAGGGATATTTTCTATGATTGAAAAAAGGGGGATAAATAAATCCCCAAAGTTCAGTATTGTACATATAGAATATATACAATATCCAGAATAAGTTTGTAATATTAAATAAGGATAAAAATAAAATTTATTTATGTAAGGAGAGACTTTACCAGAACAGAGGTAGATATAGCAATAATAATAATAATAATAATAATAATAATGTCTAAATTTGAAAAAAAACAAAGAAGATTAACTTAAACACGTTGATCAGAATTAAACAAGGTTAAAATGAATTAAATCTAGAGAAATAGAGGTCATAGAGAGCGAGAGAGAGATTTCTCTCTCTAGAAACCATAAACATGATCTGGAGATAAAAACAATGGATCAGCAATGGAAAAGATTCAATTTTTCTTTCAATGTTGCCAATTTTTTTGGGCAAATACTTACACAATATATCATTGCTCTCGAGGCCTTTGGCACTGACGAGCAACACTTCCAACGTTCCCCTCGGCATCTTGCAGAACAAAGAGAGAAAAATATGTTAGCACTCTCTCTCGTTCAGAACGCCTCTCTAAAAGCTATTTATGGAGCTTTTTTCCGCCTCTCTCTCAAAGTCAATCTCCCCGTCTTTCTCTCTCTAAGCTTTTTCCTTTCTCTCTCCACTTTCTCTCTCTACATCAACCTCCCCGTCGTCTCACCAAGTATTTTCCCCTCTCTCTCTTCATTTTTTTCAGGGGCATGCCGAGGAAAGATGAGGAAGTTTGCTTCAGTTGAGCCGTTTCGAGCACGGTTTTATACTTAAAAGCAATGGTTTAAAAACCGGATCGGTGACCCGGATCGGGTTTTTCAAAAACCGATCCGGATCGGCGAATCGGCGATCCGGATCGGCGAATCGGCGGTCCGGATCGGAATCGGGTGAATCGGTCAGAATAAAGTTTCAAAAAAATCCGAAAAAATTATTAAAATTCATTATAAATATTGTTTTTTAGGAATTCAATAAAAAATGAGGGTACTCCATTAAGAATTTTCATGTTTTTGGATGAAAATGCGAATATTGATATGTCCTATGTTTGGCAATTTTTTTACCTTTGTTAGCATTAAGAATTGTCACCATCTGTTTTTTTACATTACTAGGGACACTAGTGCATGCAGAAACTTCTCCCTTAACCCCTGCCAAGTGTTGCTTGAA